AGGGAGGCAGTGAAGGACAGGAAGGCCTGGCGCAATATGGTTCATGAGGTCATGAAGAGTCAGATACGACTTAACAACTGAACAACAACAACAACAAGTAATTATTGTTGGTCAATAAGAAACCGGTCTCAAGAGAACAGATTCAACCTGTTTGGGATGCGGGTTGCATTCCCCTTGAAGAAGTACATCTGCAGTCCTGATTTTCAGCTGTCACTGGATTCACAGGTGACAGCTGCACCAGAAGTACATTTGCACAATTATGTTTAGTGCAGTAGCTATATCCATTTCTAAACTGGTTAGATTTGGAAAACTATTTTTGCTTTTGTTATATTTCACCTTGGCTAATGCAACATACTCAAAGTGAGTCCACCTTTAAAAGTGTCCAGAGATTGCAACTACTGCAAAATGCAGCAACTTAGACTACTAAACTATATGACATCTGGATTGCAAGGTCTACACTGGTTTGCAGAATGCTTACAACCACAATTACATGTATTGGCATTAACGTTTGCCAAAATGATTTAGAATCTGATTATATGAGTGACTGCCTCTCTCATTATGTTAAGATCTGTTAAGATCTGTAGGACAAGCTATTCTGAAGATGGCTGTGTTGCCAGAAGTTGTTTCTTTGGCACATGGGAGAGGGACTTCCATTATTACTCCCAATTCATGGACTGCATTTTGGGGGGAGCTGCACATAGCCATCATTTTAAACCCCTTTACAAGAGCAGCCAAGATGCTTTTTCTTTTTTCCAAAAGCCTTTTAACTGTTACTTACATTTACATTAGTTTAATGTATGTTTTTAATTTTTTTTTTACAGTGTGCATTTTATTCTTGTCAGTTTGATTGCTCTGGTTTATAGAAGACAAGTTAGAAATCCAATAAATTCTAATTATGTAGTCTTTGATATGATCAAAGAAACTTAACCCAGTCTCATATATAATCTGTCTCTGAAAAAATATGACATTTCTATTTCAAATGGGTACTAACATGTACTCAACATTAGATTTTGATTTTTAATTAAAATACATATAAATAAAATAATATGATTATTAATTCAATTTTAAAAAGTGTTATGTTTTAATTCTCACTAAATAGCACCCAGCAAAACTAATGCCTTCAATTAAGACAACTGTCTTTCTACTTTTGTTTTCATTAACAATGCAAATCTAGGATAATCAGTTTTATATATTAAACTGACCTCCCATTCTGCTGATAAAATCCTTCTTCAAATTCCCGTAGGGTTTTGCGCAATTTCTTTTTTTCACCTCTGGCTTTCCAAAGTTGTTCTAATAATTCAGGCCTAGAAACACATTGTAAGAAAATACTCTGGCTGATCAATACCATCATGAATGGCCCATCCACTAAAGAAGCACAACTTTAATTAGATGACTGATTCTTTTTCAGAAGTTTGTCTCATAAAGGAATTTATGTATTTCTTTAACCTATTCTCTTGCTAATAATTCAGATAAAGAAAACTAAATGTAATTACTCTGCTGAAGTGATTAAGTGATAAAGCTAGAATTACATTTCAGGAAACTTCTGACCTTCATTGAAGGGGTATGCAAAATGTTCAACAAGTTTTCTGATATCAAAACAGCCAGTGTTAGGATTAGACACTTTTCTGGACAGGTCAGAATGGCCCGTTTTGATCTTGCAGTGTAACATTTTGCACATCACTGATCTATTTCGGATCTGATCAGAATCCACAAATTATTTTATTTTAAAAATAAGCAGTAGCTACATTTGTTTAGCATTTACAATGTCATATTTACTTACATGGAAGCTGCACGGATACTAGAAAGTCGAAGCTCTCGAGTCAATTTCTCTTGACTCTCCTCAACATCAGATTCTGAGTTTTCAACAGGGCTAGTAGCAGTGGGATGTGTTTGGGCACTGGATTTTAAGACATCAGTCAATTCTGAAGACATATCACCATCTTCTTCCTCTTCCTTAAAACAATAAAAGTTTTAAGCATTCAAGTAATGAGCCATATTTTTAAAAAATACTGCTACTTCTGCAGATATAGTCATTCTTATGTTTCTATGGCAACTTATGGTTCAGAATTGTGTGGGTGTTAATGTGAAGTCTATTGTTAAAAGCAACAGTACATGTATTATTGGTTCTAGCACCCTGGGAAACACAAACAATGGGAACAGCAGTGTGCAGTAAAAGAATGGGAAAAATCATTTGCTGTTGTAGTCTTTTTTTATGGTTCAGTGTTTCATGATAGTTTAGTCCAAAAGCACTATAAAGTATAACATAATTGTGGGTGTAAATAGGAACAATCTAAGAAATTATTTAAAATCTTTTTCCAAAAAATGTTTTAGTAATACTATAATGTACCTATTATAAAATTAATTTTTAGAGAATTGGTACAAATAAATATATAATTAAATACTTCAAGTATCCTGTAGGGAAAGTCATTTGTAAAGATATTAAATAATAATATTTTAATAAATAATAATTTAATATTAAAGATATTAAATAAGGGAATTCACAAAAAATAACTCCATGTTATTTCATGAGCATGAAACTGAGCAAACTCAGGGAGGCAGTGAAGGACAGGAAGGCCTGGCGCA